ATGGGAGGAATCTTTGTCCCCCACTTTTAGAGTATAACCTGTCAAAAAAAGAGAGAAATTCTTTTTCGATGTCATTTTCTTCAAAAAGGCTCATACCATTCATGGAAAGAATTTCAGTGATGGTGTTCTTTCTTCTCTTCGATGCTACAATACGGTGGAAGAAAGATGTGTTGTTGTCCCCATCATGAAGCCATTTAGTTTTGCACCTTTGACGCCAAAGAATCTCTTCTTTCGCAGCCACCTCAAGGAGATGTGTTTTGATGGATTTCCGCTGGATGCTTTGTACATTGTTCAGGAGCTCCTTCTCTTCTAAGTCATCCAAAATAGCTAGCTCTGAAGTGAGATGATGCTTTTGTTGTGCTATGTTACCAAAAGTTGTTTTGCTCCAAATTTTGATCACTGCCTTTAACCCTTTCAGTTTCATAATGAAACCATGACATGGCCAGCCTCTAAGGGGAGTGTTCTTCCACCAATATTCGATCAAAGCAGGGAAGAAGTGGTGTTGCAGCCAAGCATTTTCGAATCTGAAGGGTGTGGGGCCCCATTTTGTCATGCCGAAAGACAGATGAAGAGGGAAGTGATCGGATGTGGGGCGGCTCAGCCTTTTGACAGTCGCATTCTGAAATTTCACCAGAAAATCATTAGTGGCCAAAAACCTGTCTATCAAAGTGAGGGTAGGAGGGTCCCTGTAGTCTGACCACGTGTATAAGCCATTAGAAAGGGGGAGATTTTGCAGACCGGCTGATTCAATAAAAGTGTTGAAATGGTGCATATTCCTGGTTGGCCTGCGATATGATGATTTCTCGTGTGTCCATCTGATAGAATTAAAATCACCTCCCAAAAGTCAGGAGTCGGTGCAGAGGAAAGAGAGGTCTGAAAGCTCTCTCCAGAAAGTTGGCTTTTCCTCTGTTTTTGTAGGGCCGTATACTCCTGTCAACCAGAACTTAGAACCGTCAAACAAAGTGAGAAGGATAGTAAGAGTGTAAAGACCTATTGTGACATCTGACACATGAAAAGAAGGGTCGTTCCACATGATCAGGATACCCCCTGATGTGGYCGAGGCATCGAGAGAAGTCCATCCAATGTCGCGGGAGCTCCACAGTGACTTTATAGTGAGACGATCAACCATATCCAACTTAGTTTCTTGTAGGAT